GAATACAAGCTTGACAAGGTTTGAACACAATCTAAATTTTGTTTTACCTTAAGTTGATACTAACTATGGTATGTGTAAACAGCCCACTTCAATGCAATCCGTCTCTGGAATACCATACCTTCAGAAATCAAAACTTCACAATCTGTCAGCATATAAAAAAAAATCGACGACTTTTCTCTCATTCATTCCATAATTCAAATAGTTTTGGTCATTCTCTTTCACTTTCATGCATTCTAACAACCTATACTGTTGAGGAAGCACACATCATCATCCTAAATTCATGAAATAAAAGTCACTGTTTTGTTTTCTTCATAATCAGCAATCAGTTTTTCCAATATTCTATTATGTAATTATCAGCAAACTGTTTAGATGACTTCGATTACCTTTACTTATTATGTTGTCTCACCTCCATCTCTGTTGCTGCTTTCTGCTGTTGTTTTTCTTATGTAGAACTCTCTTTTGCTGTGGTGTACTTTATTGCTTGTTTGCTGTATCACTCACTGCTTGATGGTTCAATTAAATTTTTCTCTATTCACTACTGTAGGTGGTCCCGATGTCTTTTCTTACTATGGGACCTTCTTGTTTGTGCACAAGTGTTATATGAACTGAAGGTCCCAGAGTCTCAATCCCATAGTCCTTTTCAATGAGTCAATAAAACAATTTGTGATTCTGATTATAGAGACGTGAAGTGCTCGTGCAGTTGAAAAAATGGTTGCGCAATCTACTTGCTATATTCCAAGCAGAAAAAGTGTAGAGAATAGATGGATGGATATGTCGGGTTTAACGTCCCAAAAGCTCTATATGATTATGAGCGACGCCGTAGTGGAGGGCTGCGGAAACTTCGACCGCCTGGGGTTCTTTGACGTGCACCCAAATCTCAGTACACGGGCCTCCAACGTTTCCGACTCCATCGGAAATGCAGCCGCTGCAGCCGGGATTCGATCCCGCGACCTGCGGGTCAGCAGCCGAGCACCTTAGCCACTAGACCACCGCGGCGGGGTGAGTGTACGGAATGCTTGGGCGGTGATTCAGTGCGTACTGGTTTATGATGATGGGACCTCTCTCTGTGAAACGCAAGAAGCGTTGACCATTACAGCTCTGGTTTACACGTCAAACACACAGGCAACCGCTCACACACACAGACGCACACACACAAACACCAATGCCGCGCCGTTTCACAAATGCAGAACCCCCCCCCCCCCCCAATGAAAAATATAACAATCGAGAAACAAACAGCCGCCGCAAATCGTCCTGAGTAGGAAGTCTTATCACGCACTGCATGTTTACCCCTGTACGTCAGCGACGATTTCAAGCATTCACGGCCGCGCAAGTGCGTCTCGCAATATCAACCACGTGCGCACCCGACTCGTTCGCCATTGCCTTTTATGGTCTTCGATTCGTCCCGATAATGCATGCTCGCTATGTTCGCGTGTTGAAACACAATATTATAGCAACAAACACCATTGTCCACATGAAGCCCCCTTTCAAACCAAAACGTAATTAAGGAGCTTTAGCTATCTCGTTATCATCGCGTTGATGAACTAATGTATCACCATTCGTGTCTCTCCAAATGCCTTAGCTCTACGTGTACACGACCACACTAGTGACGTTAGCTGTCTGATGGAATGGCTGGACTATAAAAGAAATACTGCTGCTCAATAAATGTCTAACTTCTCGCATTGCAGAAAACACGCGTAAGGCTTAAAATGAAGGAGAACTAACAAACAATAATGACAAAAAAGTATAGCAGGGTCTTATGAGAAGTCAATGTAATGTAAATGAGAAAACGAAAATTTGGTGAAAATTTAACTTACCATTCACGCGGACCGAACCTGCAACCTTCGAAACTACAAATTCGAAGATCGCACGATAAGTTTATCCCCAAGGCTGGTTATCTTATTACACTTTTCTTTCTTCTCATTTACACCCCCTGCATACTTTCTTTGGTCTTATTGTCTGCTTGTCGCCATTTATTGACGCTGCACGTGCTTTCGGAAAGGTCGGCAACTGTTACGGGTTGAGAGTCAAGGAGCGGCGGAGTATCAAGTAGCCAGATTCCGGGCAAGCGTGCCGAATCTTCTACTTCTACTGACACGGAAACTTGCTGGCTTTCTCATGTGCTTCATCGTTGCACTCTCTTCAATGCGGCTATTAGTTTTCTTCAATATTGTGTTTTAAATTGAAAATCAAGTCCTTAAAATGTTCTCTTCTTTCTTGTGTAAGGCTTACGCGATTTGAAATTTCACTAAAGCTCTCTTAAGACTTTTTTCTGTACCTGACAATATCCTCAGTTGCTCGCTTCATCCGGTTAAAGACGGTTAAAGGCAGAAACAGTACCCGTCGAGCACCGACGCGAGACAGTGTCACAAGTCAAAGCTTAAATTATACTCTCACTGCTATCAATATGCAAGCCGGCATTCCTCCCGCTTACAGTACTACTTCTTTAGGTTAACGCGTATAAACCATGATATAATTAATAGGCACGCTGTGGTGAGAAACTTCGGTCAATTTCGACTATAGTCTGTGGGGTTCCTTGACTATAAGTCGGTGCACTCACTAATGAGTCTACTCACTCAGACTCACGACTTGGTCTGAGCCACGGTGGGTCTGAGTAAGTTCAGGTGAGTAATCTTTTGGGCAGTTTGAGTCCGACTGAATCCAGCCCAGAAAACTCCCGATGAACCTGAGTCAGAATCAGCACGTGCAAAACAACTTTTTCGAGTGATTCGAAGTGAGCTCCACAATTTCTGCGGACTTGCGCCCTTGACGTCAACTGACAATAGAGAATGTACAGGTTACTTCATCGAAAGACGAACCCGCGTCTTTCGGGTCAAAAGACGCGTGCCCTGCATGTATCTCTTTCCTGTCGTTTACTCCGTTCCAATAAACACTAAAATTGTTTGGTGGTTATTGATTAACGCGATGAAATTGAAGAACTCGTTCTGCGGAAATTGCGGCATTGGCGTCGTTGGTTGTAAGCAAAAATCCCCATCTTATGTGTGACCTAAAATGAACGAACAAGGGTCGTGTGGGTTTGAGTCGGGATCAAACCCGGGTCGTTCACGTGGAAAACGGATGTTCTACCACATGGTCGTGCGTCTGCTTGCGAATACATAGAAAAGAACTTCCCCTGCTTGAAAATGCAGTGAAAGTAGTTTTAATGCTTAACAAACACATGCGCTCGGTCTACATGCTTCACATTGTAACATGAAATACAGCTGTAATGTTGTGCGGTACAAGCCCCCATTGCCTGCAAGCATCAGAACATGTGGTTATCACAGTGGCTTCGTAGTCAAAAGCCGGTTCCCCACTACAACAGGCCCACACGCTGGCCTCTCCCTTGAGGCCATGCAGTGCGTGCATAGCAAGTTCGGGAACATTTCATGCACTACGTGTTCGAAGTACGCACTAGGAACAGGACATACAAGATAGACTGGCAGCGGTGTACTTCTTCTACAACCTGGCAGATTATCTCAGCTCATCATTCGTACGGACTCGACCCAAGCTGTCCGCGATATACGACGAGTGGACGTCACTCTCGGGTATAGTATTCACCATCATGCTGCCTCCGCATCTGTGCGAATACGTGCTTAGTGGGTTCCACGGGCCGCTTTGCCGGACGTTGTCCAAAGATGGTTTGGCAAACCATGCTTAACTTATACCGCACCCGCTACCGAATTTTCCCGAGCGCGCTCAAGGACAGATGCACCAGGAGAAAGAAAGCCTCCGACGTTCCACACGCACCTCCGTGTGGATCAGACCTCGCTGGTGATTTAACCCACTGAGAGGAGGTTGCGTTGCGGAGGCTTCGTGTTGAGGTTGCGCTTACCACATCCGTGACCACCCTTTGGCCGCAAAAGTACCAAGGCCATCATGGCACATCGTGCCCACCTTGCGAGGTCCCAATCGAGGATGTAACTGCCTCCCACTTTCTGTGCACTGCACTGGTCTACCATTAAGCCATTGTGGTCACCTTTGTGCAACAGCTAGGTCTCAGGCCTGGCCGACCACCCGACTTTGACCTTTGCATACAGGGATCTCACCACTGCTCTCTACTCGGCTTTCTAAACAAGGCAAACCTGTACGTGCATCTTTGAATGAAAAAATAGTAAGGGCAGACTTTCGAAATAAAAAGCAGGACATTGCTATCGCATCACTCCTAAAGGTGAAGCTTTAGGGTCCCCAATTTTTATTTATTTATCTATTGGTGTATTTGTTTATTTATTTTCATACAACAATCTCCCGGGGGCATTATAGAGAGGTTCGCAAAACATTTGTAGCTCTCTATATACAAAAGATAGTTACGCGTGCCAACTGCTCACCATTTATGTTTTGTAGCAAATCTTTCAAGAAACTTCTGACCAGTCAAAACGCCGAATTTATATTTTCCGCGTTCTGCTCTGCACCCTTTAACCACGAGTATTCGAAAAAGTGGTTGGATAAAATGAAGAATGAAAAGGAAAGAAAGAGAGCGAAACCAACGCTCTCGATTTAAGGAGGCGGGGAAGAGCTGCTAACAGAAACCTCGCCTGCCCTCAATTCACACGGACATACTTCTCGGCGGAAACCCAGTCGGTCGGTGTGGCACTTGGTACAGAACGAACACGCACAATCTTCAAGAAAACGCACGAACGCACCGGAATCAGTAGGGGATCACACACATAAACCCGTAACGATGCTTACAATAGGCCACAATGTTCGCCAGGGTATAGCCACTCACGTGTTGGTTCGTCGCCATGACCAGATCTAGTGGGTGACAGTAGTGCAGCCACGCAAGTCAAACGACGACGATAATCCAGCCGCTTGCAAGCGCGGCACATGCACTGGGCTCATCTGAGCAGTGGCTCACCTATGGCATCGTAAAAATAAAAAGAACAGCATACGCGTATATCAACGCTCGTAGAGGTGCTGAGAGATAAGCCTGGCTGCGCTCGTACGTTGTGCGAAGAGGGGGAGGTAGCAAAGGAGAGAGGCACCTTCCTATTCTGTTCTCATCTCACCTTTGCCCAGGTCGACAGATTAGATAAGGCCTTCAGCGCTGACCCCCTCGCGTACATTCCTGGGGTCCTCTTCTGGGAAGTGAGCTCGCTTCTCACACTGCGACAAAAACACGCAAAAAAGGTGTTACCAAAGCATTATTCTTCCGGACGTGCAACTGTATAATAGTATTTCTTTAGATGTATATGTATCATCATTATAGAAATAGCTTATGCCTCAAAACATATTGTATGCCGTAGTTCACAAATATTTGCATTCACTGGATAAATTGTTGTAAATGTACCGAATGTGCAGGTATGGGCTTCCTTTTAAATGTAATATAGCATCGTATGGTTCCAAAATTTCTTATTCGTCAGCATATCTCCTCCTACACACCTAGACAACTGTTTCGATCACCACCACAAAGAAGGCGATTACCACCACAAAGAAATAAGGAATAAAAAAATAGTTTTGTTTAATGGGTTTCGACCTGGTTGCCCCCGGTCCGAAGGCAAGTGTCTTATCCACCGCTCTATACACACACTGTTTTTACTCTTCGCAATGCATCATCATACAAAAATTAAAGTAAAAGTCGTCAGCCTGCTTCATAATTATCATTATTATTTATGTTAAATACTCCTAACCCCAATGCTTGAGATTTTCGCCGGGTTGTGAAAAACTTATAACAGGGTTCTTAACACACACAATGGATTCCGACAATACAAAATATTTGAACTTACAATAACAACGTGAAAGGCTTAATTCTACACTATAAAACAATGTGCAGACAAGCCTTTGGTAGTACAAAATACATCAGGGTTACAGTTCGGGAAAAAGAAGGACGTTTAAAACAGTGTTCTTCGATTTCAATGTCACAAACGTATACGAATGATGTAGTCTTGTTGAGTACCCTCTGTAAAATTAAAAATAGTCACATGTTCGGCTTTGTGACTAAGTCTTGGCAATTCAAACAGGAAAATATGGCAAGCGATTTTAAGGCGAGCTTTGGTTTAGCAAGTGATGCATTAAGATTTCTTACGTTTACATGTGTGCCTTTCCACTTCCCTTCCTTATCTCTCATTCTCTCTTCCTTGCTTTTCTGTCTTCCTCAACCCTTTTCCAATGCAAGCTAGCAAATCAGATAGTAGCTTTCGGTTAACCTCCTTGCCTTTCCACATCTCATATATATATTTCTCTCTCTTACGTTTACACAATCCGCCAAAAAATCAGCATATCCACGGAGTGAAAGATGATGAGTGGAGTGAAGCTTTTGACCACCCATCCGTCGATCTGTCTCCCTTTCTGTCTGTGTCCATGCGTCTGTCTGTCTGTTCATACGTCCATCCGTGCGTGTGTCTGTATCTTCGTTTCTATCCCACTAGAGCACGCATCGGGCGGATAGACGCTTCGCCCCACTCATCATCATTCACTCCGTAGATATGCTGCCTACGCCGAATGGAAGGACAAGGACGACCGACCAGATGATTGTATAAGGAGCTCACCCCTAATACTTCAATCCATAGAGGCCGTTCTGTTTAAGACTGAAAAACACCTACTGTATTCGCGACGCATTTCTAAGAAAAACGGTTGGCGGCGCGTATACGAAGGTGCTCGTGGTGCTTCGCTGTAGGCGGTTTGAGTTGATTGTCGGTAAATAAGATGCGTTGACTGCAGCCTTATGGTATTATATATAACCTCCACCTTCACAATAATACATGAAACCGGATTTATGTTCCTAGTATGTGCGTGAAAAGCGTGATTTGCCCATCAATGGGCCACTGGCCTTCGGTCACAGTCATGTTGTGCACGGTGCTCAATTCCTTAGATGGGAAGCGTTCTATCTATGGTTGAGCTCAATCCGGGTGCGGAATGACCACCTTTAGGGAGACACGCGCACCTCTTCTCTTCTCTCCTCTCCTACGCTGCTCCTCTCGTCTCGCAACACCGACACAGGCACCATCTGCTAGCCTAGGCTCTCTCTCCTCTTGGTATCCCTCACAGCCGCACTTACACACCCTCTGAGCATGCGCGTACCCTCCTTCTCCTCTCCTACCCTCACCCTCTCTCACCTCGCAAAGCCGATGCGCGAAGCGTCGGCTAAAAAATGTTTAGATAATCATTTCGACGACAAAAATACAAAGCTAGTATTTATTTGATTCATTATGAGCATTAAACTCATGAAACACTGGTGTCGGCGATTTTATAAAGAAGATTTTGCTGTCTTATTAGCAAAAGCCAAATGTTTATCCGGTGAATGGTTGGGTTGTTGGGTGAAACTAGGAAGCGCTTACGCGATTCTAATAGGTATAATTTTGCCTTAACAATAAAACTACAACACAAAGGCTTCGACCAAGACGACTTGATAACATTGTGCAGCTCACTCCTGAATGGAGCTCGGGACAGATGCTGAATACAGTGCAATTCGGAAAGACCGAGGCAAAAGGAGAAGAGTTGTACGTATTCTTTAAAAAAAAATCATTGCATATAATGAGGATGCCTGACTTGTGCGCGTACAATGCTTATTCTGCGAAATTTACTACGAAAAAGTCAAGTACGTGAAAGCGGTAACGTATGGGCCTTTTAATTCTATTGTTGCTGTGTTCTAATCGTTAAAACGTGTTTATTTGAATCTTAAGCCTGGTGACAAAGCTATTTTAGTGGACGATTTTTATTGGCTTAGTATCGACTGGCCCGACTCCTCACTTACTAAGCAGAATGATCAGTTACCATAACAAATGCTAAACGTTGTGCTTATATACGATCCATTACCAATTATGGAAAACTTTACTAAAATTCAAGAAAATCGCAAATCAGTGTCAGATTTTTTCCCTACTGAGCGATTCCGTTAGTGCTAAAAGCTTTTTCTTTGTAGTTCCGGGAATTTTCAATACGAAATCGCATTGCCTATTCCTAAAGATAGGCAACTGAACAATAAAAGGGAAATTTCTTCGTTCCTTAATTTCTTCCTCGCTCATGATGTATCAATAGTCGTCCAGCTATCCTTTGACTTCAACAATTTCGGCAACAACATACACCACGTTTGGGGCGAATTCAAACGTATTGTAACTGAAAGTAATGGGCATTGTGAGCCCAAGATTCTTTCTCTACGGGACAATCTGTAATCTTCGGTTGCTGTCAATCTGCCGTCGGAACACACATTTCACGCTCCCAATATACCAGTGTGGTTGTCCACAAGGAGTAAAAAAAATGTTTCTACCCTTGGAAGTCAACTTTCACTGAGAAGAGGCATTTTACTGATTCGTGGCCTATTTCGGAATGACGCCCCTAATGTGGGGCACCCTGTGTTTTCGACGTGTGTACCAGACTACCTTCGGTGTGCTGTAGGCGTACAGTTTCCTAAAATTAACTAGAGGAGACTCTGGCACTGCGATCGTTCAGCGACTATGGCAATGTTGGGTAGTACATAAATTTGCCTAGTCTTCATGCTTGCGGGCTTTGAACGTACTTGTGCCCTTGTTTATTGCTGTGTTTTTGTTTTGTTTCGATTGAAAGAACAAACTGTCTAGAACTTCGTGACAATTTGAATTCGTGAGCCCAAAATGTTCAACTGGTGAAGCGTAACTGCTGAAAATTTGTCGATTGCTGTTTCGTGACAAAGTAGCTTCAAGCCACACGAAGCCATGCGGAGCCGGAAGTACGAATACTAGGCAAATGCATGTACTACTCATCATTCCCATGCTCACTTAAGCACCATGCCACTCCCATAGACATTATAGCATCAGAGTTCCCGCTAGTGTATTTATAGACAACTCTACGGTTGTGCAGCAATGGCAAACAGCAATGCCAGTAATCCTTCCACACTCAAGCAGTCGCTGAAATGACTGCTTGAGTCGCTGAAATGACATGAAAGGCCGGTGCAGGTTTATCCAGCGTTAAATGGCATCGTCAAATGTCCCGTTTCAAGCACTGTATATAATCACGTGTACTTCATTTATACCAGGGCGATGAATACAATGTGACTTCACACCAAGAAAGCATCGGTTCTGATTTTGCTTTGGGCCCATTGTTTTGCCATTGTTTGAAATTATGGACTAGTTTTAAGGCAGGTTTAACCACCCTAGCTTTTACGGAAACATCAAGACCATTTGAAAACGAGAATATCCTAATATGGTTTAAAATACAGCGGATATAATGGCTCTTTAACAATGAAAAATGTAATCACTTGCTCGCAAATATCGTGCACCGAACGCTTGTGATATTGTTAATTATAATCTTGTCAGCGGGAAGAAAAACAAAGCGGCAAAATGAATGTCTCATTTTTTTTTTCTGTGTCCATACCGTTTTGTAGTATATACACGAGAAAGGTGGTCATCTAACGACAAGCTCACAGCCAGGTTTTTCCATAGTTGAAGAATATCACTGTCAGTGCTTTGATCAAAGAAATAGCTAATAAGCCTGTGCAATGAAATACTAAGCATATTTATAGCAATGTATGTTCTTTGTATTGTGGTGGTGATCAAATTATCTTCAATGGCAGCTCCATACTGTTTTGAATAAAGTCTATGACAGGCGTCCCACAATTCAGCGTTATTCAGTGTAACAGCCACTGTGCTCAAGATATCCCTATCATAACGTGCTGAAATAAAAAGCTGAAACAGTGCTTCGAGATGAAATACCAGCGAGAAAACAATGTACGCATAAAAGAAGGCAACAGGTTCGTGTGTTATCGCTATGCCACTTTTCTAAGCACCAACTAGCCCGAAAGGCCTTGTTGACAGGACAAAGTTGTGCTAACTCGGCTAACTATCGACATTCTTGCTAGAATTCTGCATCCATGCTAGAGAGACAGAACATAACTATCACTTTATTTATAGCACAGCACGCTCTGAGTGGTCGTTAATTTCACGTCGTTGACGTAAACGAATAAACGAAGGGAACTCACATTGACAATGCCACGTAATCCAGCGACTTAAGTGGTACCAGCCGATAATATAATACACTCTGATGCCTCCCGCAATGTACTGTAACACCTGGTGTTTCCACGAATGATGGAGAGGCAGCCTTTCGCAGGAAACATGATGGCGCTCACGTCTCCCACGCAAACGCTGCCTCAGCAGCCTCACGAAGGCTCAAGGGTCACGGTTGTTTTCCAGCGCGTTTATTTCGTCCTTGTTTTGGTCAGCTCCACAAACCACGTGTTCCTTGCAGCCGTTTTCTGGGTACACGCATGAAAAGCTTTGAGAATGCTTGCGCTACTTCTCGCTACATTTTTATCAAATCAAGTGGCCTTTCACAAACAAACGTAAGCAACAAGGTTCATATGCATGGTCGCTTGCGCTTACACCAAACACGTCACTTGCAGCATGGGCGTGTGCGGGGTTGGCTGGGTTTCTCTACGAAAAGGGGAGGGGGAGGCAAAGGTTCAATGCAGCGTCTTCACCCCACCCCTTCGAACTAAATGTATGAGGCAGCTGTCACCCCTCCCACTCTCTAAGTGTGGCGGCCGCCACACTGAAACTCCTCTCCCAACCCGTGCGTACGCTTATGGCTGGCAGTGACGTCCAGCGTAGCATCTTCTCCTTTTTTTCTAATAATGATTATGTAAATGAATATGGGCACTTCATTGGTGATTGCATTATTTACCTCCCTGTCTCTCCTTCCATCCATCTTTCCTTTGTGTGCGCATAACAACCATTATTATTATTATTATTATTATTATTATTATTATTATTAAGGCGGGCGTTAAAAATTCTACAAGTCATCTATCGTCTGCAAAGTCGGTTTTTACGACGAAGTAGAAGTGCTCTGCCGCTGCGATAGCCACACCGACCAATACACAATCATAATGCCGATAAATACACTAACAAGCCAACAACAATTCGTATTTATTATTGAACACCACGAGGCAAGTTTTTTTTATAGAGAATTCGTGGGGTATGCTAGCCTATCATGGCATAGTCATGTTTTTTTTGGAATCAATAAGTAAAAGGTGACGTCGAATAATTTATATCCTCAAATGTCGCTGATGTTATCGAACCTGAGAGTGCTATAGGCTCGCAAAAAAGGTCTTCACGTTGCTGCCTCGGACCAAAAATTCCCATTAATAAGTGACGAACAATAAAGTGACACAAAAGAGGAAAACAATTGCTATGCTTTTAGGAAATTGTCCTTGCACAGTTTCAACATCACCAACCAAACTCACCGCGAGAAGACGCATGTTAAGCGATAAAACATACAAAATGAAAAGGCGGGCGGCGGTGCCACCTCGAAATTCCTGCACCAAATGCAATAACGTCAAAAATTTTGCCCATCGTTACTGAGACCTGCGAAACACCTAAAAGATAAAAATGGAGCACAATGTCAGCTGATAGCGCCAGAAACTTATCAAAATTCGGAGCAGTTCATAAATACAATGTCGGAGAAGTATGATAACTTCACTTTGAAATTCCAACCATCAAGCATGCAGAACTGATGTCTGGAATTTCAAAGTGAACGTAAAAAAAAAAATCTCCTGTAATAATGAAGTGATGACGGAAAGATTAACGACATTTGAGTTCCTAGGCAACACTTTATCAACATAAACCAATTCTTTGTTTTACTTTCAGTGCCCTTTAAATAAAATACAGGAAGCATTGCGGCAGTATCTTGTAATGTAGAGAGACAAGGAACCCCGCCAAGCTCGAGCGAGCAGCATTGTACCCTTGCATGTGATGTTCTGAGCTCTCTTCTTTCATGCTGTACGCAATACGACTCAAATTTCCACATTTGCTTTCACAGTACAACGTAAAAATCCTAGGCAGCCAATGCGTTGCTTGTTTTAATGATTGGGGACGGGCGAAGAAGTGTCACACACATTAATTGAACAGTGAGAACTCCGCTCGTATATTCCCCTCGACTTGGCGTTTTCCAAGATAGAGCCGTAGCGTGCGTTTTAAAATGAGCGCCATTTCCGCGCGGTTCTTTCTCCGTAGTTTTCTATACGCGTAGTTTCGTCACTTCCTCGACCCGAGAACTTTCTATCTGACGTAACAGAAAGGCTGCGTTTCATGCGAGCCGGTTGCGCGCAGTTTTGATGTCGCTGTCCACATCCGCCTATGAATATCACCGCTTACGTGGTACTTATGGGATCTCTTTACAAAAAAAAAAAAAAACAGTGTATGCCACAAACTGTGTTAACCTACATCTTTCTTGTATGAACAACCGTGCATGTTGTAGCAAGTAATTTAAATGGTTCATGAGCTTTAGTTGATTAGTCTCTTCAGTGTCGGTTTAGCTGCGGCAAAATACTTTCGGGCCGACATAGGTTGGCCTAAGAAGACGACGGGAGTTGAACGATCATGGTGTCTTTATGAATGCGTGCATTGTATAGAAGAGAACCGTGAGTATAGTCACATGATAACCAAAAATAGACCCGAGTACTGGCGGCGTTTGACGATTGCCTGGTGAGGAAACATTCGTGCGTGCATCAAGGCAGAGATTTCGTGGCGTAAATCCATAAAAATCAAAAGAGAATACATGCAGCTTGCTAGGGCAGCCATTTTGTTTCCATAAATGTTGTAAGTTTTTTGTTTAGTTATATAAAATATCAATCACACCTTGAAATCAAATTGAAAAATAACAACTGTTGTTGTTTAATGTCCGCAAACAACCATATTGTAACGAGAGACACCGTAGTGAAGGGCTACAGAAATCTCGACCACCTGGAGTTCCTTCGATTGCACTTACTAAGCACACAAGCCTCAAGCAATTTCGTCTCCTTCGAAATTGCGGCCGCCGTGACCTGGTTTCAATACTGTGATCTGCTGACCAGCAGCCGAGTGGCTTAGCCACTAGACTACCGCGGCGGGCTCCACAATCACAGCCAGAATCACAACCACAGTCAAAGCCGCAGCGCAATCCACAGCGAATCGAACGGTTGCAGCATACAGAGCCAACATTGACTGACTCAACGACAGCACTGTTTAACCACGCCATGCCTGAAAACGACAAGCACATCCCTACGACGATACAATCTTTTATGGAAACCATATTTATGCTTTTGAAAAAGCTAAATATTTCGCCAGCCCAAGCAGCCCTGACACTGCTAGAAGTTCTCAATCGAGTGTTTTCAGCGCTTTACTAGTCCCCACGAATTGCCCAAGACCCTCTCCAAGGCCGCCATTTCCCTGTCACATGTTTGAATGCTGAAATCATATAGGTCAGAAAAGTTCCCGGCCTTAGTGACTGACTGACTGTACAGATTTGTATGAGAAGTGATCCCCATCTCTCTCCTCTTCCTCTTTTTAATCCTCATCCCCCTATCCCCAACGCAGGGTAGCAAACCGGACGCTTATCTGGTTAACCTCCCTGCCTTTCTTCTTGGTTATTCCTTCCTTCAAACTGAAAAAAATGAATATATGAGCCCAGCTCGCGTAACTGTATTATTCTATTCAGCCCTCTCCGAAGCCGATCAAACGGCAGTTGTGATTCCAACGGTCTCACACGGCTGAGAGGTATTCAACACCGGTATGCTACAAAAAAGTCATTTAAAAAGTTGAACGTGCTAAACTACACTTGCCAACGAAGTCTGTACCCCGAGCACAAGGGGGGCACTGAGCAACTTGCCCCCTTCCCCTCATGATTTACGCCACTGGAGTACTCTTCCTAAGGAGTAATCCTCAGTACATGTTCTACGTGGAGGCAAGATCACGGCGAACAACACGGTTGAAACATCCCAACAGAGAGTGTAAGCAAACGCGGGGTATACGGTACACTTGTCCGAAGAGTAGAGCAATATAATACTGAGACGTAACCAAAACAAGCCTCACCATATCGTAATCGAGGTCAAAAGTCTCCTTGGCGAATGACTGCGGCGTCTTTCCTTTTTCCTACGACGACAAACTCAAAAATACACTCGAACGAAGCTCCCAAAGGGAGATATGAGTGGAGGCGAGTGGCGAACGTGTCGTTACATGAAATATAAGGAGGTGAGGGAGTGTGGCCAAGCATGCGTCCCCTGTAAAACTGCGTTGAAGTTTCCCAGTCAGCCTTCTCCTCTCCTGAGTATCCGCGGTTGTACCGCCCACTTTTTATTTTTACCACAGAGTTTAGGTGAGTCATCGTCATTGGAAAATAGTACAGGACGCTCCGAATGGGGGCCGGACGGGTCCCGTCGTGACCCGTTTCCCGCTTCCTAGCTGCGAGAACCCTCGAAACGGCACACGGCAGGTTTTCTTGCTCCCCACTTGACAAAAAAAGCAAGAAAAAAGAGAAACACTAGGTAAAAAAAGCCAGCTGCACAAGGCCGCAGTATGCTCGTGCAAAGAGAGAGAGCATGGAGACGTTTTGGCCCCTCGGGCACCTGCAACAATGCCACTGGCCAACGGCCTAGTACTTGTGAGGAGGTCACCTATCCCCTCCCTCCCGCGAGGCTCCCTTGTAGTATGCCATCTCAGCTGACCTTGCACCATCTAGTCGGCAGCCGCAAGGCGGCAAGTGTTTGCTCTGGAAGAGGGAAGGGGACGACCTTGCTGAAATCCTTGTCTTGATTGCGTAAGCATGGATTCTGATGGATCAGTAATGATGCGGAAATAATCCTTCAGAAAGACATGCATGCTCGCAAATGTTTTTTTTTTTTTTCAAAGTCCGGTTGGCGACGAAATGAAAACCGGAGGGGAAACCATAAGCCCTTTATTTGAAACTTCTAGCTACACATACCAGCTGCTTTCTACAGAGATACGCCTCTTATCGTGGCACCAATTTAAAATACCCTTTTCGTAGAACGCTGTGGCCACTGGCCTGTGCCTTGAACTAGTTTACGCTGGTCCGCAGCTCACTCTCCGAGTCAAACACACGTTTTCTTAGCCCCTGTGTCCTGTAAGCATAGAGATGGCAATCAGGGTGACATAAGTCTGGTGTGCATTGAGGGTGATTGAACACGTCCCGCCGAAAACACTGCAGAACCTTATCTGTTGCAGTAGCGCTGTGCGGCCACGCATAGAAGGACGGTGGCCCATGACAACGTTGCTGTTCGCTTTGTTCTG